ATCTTAATGAACACTCTGAAGTGAAGTAAAGGACAAAAAAGTTGTCATAATAAAACTTACTCTCCAAACTCTTTCTTGATTTCTGTTGTCCACCTCTGAGAGATGTCCCTAAAGCCACAATCAGATGTTAAAAATAACTACTACTACTAATATAATTTTTTTAATACCATGCTAACTACTAGATAAAGTAAATGTTGTAGCTGAGGTGACCTGGCTCACTCTGTGCCTGTTTCTACCCAGAATCCTCAGCTGTCTTTGGCCCGGACTGTGAAAGATCTCGTGGTCCTGATGTTCTCCATCGCTGTAATGGCTGAAGTGTGTGCGATATGGGACGTCCCCTCTTGGCGGATAGTTCTCCCAAAGGATTCCTGTTCTTGGGTCTGGAGTGTATTCCTCAAGTAAGGGCGGTTCAGGCTCTGGGACGTGTGGTGGGCCTTGGAAAGGATGTTGCTTCTCATCTTCTTCAGCAATAAGCTCATCTGGATTACACCTGCCTGGAAGACAGAAATATTCTCAGTTTATATAGAAAGAGCAGAATGTGGGTATGGAGAACTTCTTTCTACCATTTCTAGGATCCACAATCTCAACTGTGGCTTTTTTCCTCTGTCCCAAAACAGCATTTTTTGGGGTCTTCAGAACTACATCAAATTTCTCATGGTTCTCTTCTAGTTCGTCATCTTTGAGGTAAATGTTCCACATTTTGACATTTACACCTAAAAACAAAGACAGACCACAGATTGAGCATATTCTCAAGATAAAGAGTCAAAAAGTTGAGGAAAGAAAAGTGACAAGCACCTGGATCAAACTGTATAAGGTTGGCAGAACTGTGAGTGAAGTCTTTCCCCACTTTGGCTGTTCCTTCTTCCACCTGTAAGATAAAATGATTCAATCATCTAAATCTTCATCTGTGCAGGATAGTAAGATTAGCAGAGATAGTTAAGCGCACCTGTATGCCGATGTACGCCGGATCTTTGCTGTTCCCACTGCGCACCACCTGCACAGCTAGAGCTCCTGCATTCTCACAAACACGATAACAGGAAGCTGACAGCTCCACGCGAGACCACCTGAACTCCATCCTGTGTTGGCAGTTGAAAAAGCCAAGAATCACATTGGGTCTGAAATGATATTGTCTAGACTTGAGATAGAATCCAGATCATATTTGGAAATGTGGCACACAAGCTGTCAACTTGCACCAAAGAAAATAACAAAAAATTATGTTTATTACCAAAGGCAATGGAATATTTGTCTGTATTGTAATTTATATTTTTTATTTTAATATTTATTATTATAGTTTTTATATATTTATTTATATATTATTGTATTAGATTTTCTTATATATTTCTGCTTTTTATTTTTAATAAAAACACTGATACATTTTACCAATTGAATTCTTATTTTGATAGAAAAATAATCTAATATAAAAATAATAGATAAATATTTAATTACCTCTAGACCATTTTACACACACACACACACACAC